TGAGATAACTAGAAATGGCCTCGCTACAATACCCTCTCTTTTAAATTTCGAGCTCCTGCGAGAAGTATTGAAAGCAKAAAAAGATCCAAGTAGTTCTAAAGATATWTTGCTTCACCGTAAWCCCTTAAGAATAAATGCGATTAAATAAGTGGAAACTCTAAATACAGAGTTACCGTRAAAATACKAGTAAATGTTTTGATTAAATAGAAGTAACTGGAATAGGTAATCAATTTCAAGCAATCAAWGTGMATTGAAAATTCGAAAAARAGAAACCGTTTCTCAGCGTAAAATTGAGTAAATACTGTAGTTAATTTTTTTGTAAGTTACTTTTTGAAAATTTTGTACTTTTTGTAAATATTTTGTTCCCAACACCGAAATAATGAGATAAATCCGAGAAAAACCCTAAACGTGAATAAATTGATTACATAATACCAATACCGTAAATACCAAGATAATCTTCTAGAACTTCTTAACGTCAACCTGAGAAGGAAGCAATACTAGAAAGGAAAAACGTTAGAACCATTCCAGAAGAATATGATAAATGAGTAAATATGTTAAGATAAAGTGTTCATAAAATTGACAGTAAACTGTCAAAGTTCGTTTATCGTTCCGTGTCTATCTAAAAGTCTTGATCTTCGTGAATCGTTGAAGTCTAAACAAGTCTTCGTGAGTCGTAGAAATCAAGGCTTTATCTTCGTGAAATCGTAGAAATTCAAGTGGTAAGGGGTCTTCATGCATCGTTGAAATTCGTGTCATCAGGCGGTGTAGGTACAGAGTTTCTTTCTTCTCCACAATCAGGAAAGGTTTCAGTAATGAGAATAAGTTCATCATTTGGAGGTGGGGTAGGCGGTTCACGAGGCTGTGCTTTATCATAGTGAACGAGTCTGATTGTTGAGTGAAACAGTCTATGGATAGGAGTAGCTAGTCCTCCAAGGTGGTATAGGTGATCAGTGTCGTCACACGTAGACGTTGAGTGTGAGCGTAGAAAAGTCATTGAAGAACCAGGAGACCAAGGTAAGCCAAGTCAAGAAACATCTTGCGAACGACGAGTAACAGAATCGGGACAGATCAGAGTACCATGTTGTTAAAAGCAATTGGCAAGTGCATCATATTTAAGTACAATTTTAGATTTTAAGCATGAAATAAGGATTAAATCATTACACGTAAATGGATCAGAAAAACACCGTTTGTTAATCTGATAAGTTCAACAGTATTCAAAAGTACAGAAAGCAGTTTTAGTTGTAATACGAGGCAAAGTTACCATGGTTTGAAGAGAAATGTACCTATCCCTGTGTTCACAAAGTCAAAGGATTTATGAAAATGCGAAACCCAACAGCTAAAAGTTTTGCTGTGAAACGAAATTTTCGTTATTTTTGACTGAAATGAACACGTTGTGACAAAGAATATTTTTGCAGTAAAATCTGAGAATCGTAATGACATTTTTCCTGTTTTGCTAATTTATTTTCYACGAAACTTTTGATCATAGAAAATTTTTTTACAAGCAAGCGTATAAACGAATAAACTGAACAGTTTTACCTTAAAACGACTGTAACTAATTATACATTTGAAAATGATCTAGCCAAAACAACATTCATTCTTCCAACTGCCCTGTTACATGACAGGTATAGATGGAATATGAAATTTGCCTAAAACTAGAAGTCTAAAAACTTCTTTAACTAATTTAGAGAGGATGAAAACCACGATCTCTTAATAGCGTTTAAGGAGTTCCGAACCGCGCACGATTTCAGCTATGGAAATAACGTGCATATAAGCGGTGTCTCCATGCTAAGGATCGCAACCTTAGGCTTCTACCCAATTAGTAAGGTAGTCGGTGAAAACTAGTATATACCGATTGCCTAAATCTGTAAAACGGGCCAAATGTATACCCAAGCTACTCGCTGAAACGCGGATTCGACTAGTACATTACTGGAGCTTGCGGTTATGCACTCTGTGTACATATTTTTAACCCAAACTTCGCAGTGTCTATACATATTCCGCTAAAAATATATTTTAACATAATTTTATCATAAGTTTCCTGAAATCCTAAGTGAGTGACCATGTACAATGACAATGTACTTAGATTTCATGTTTCAAACTTTGTGTGGTACCACTAATTAATGCGAGTTATCCTTTGTGTGCACCTGCAATACTGCAACAGAAGGTAACGTAACAAGCCTTCCTCGCAGATAAAATATTTTTCTTCCTCTTATATATAAAATTCTTGTAGCATAGTTATCATCATTTCCCAATGCATCATCATATATAAAACTGTAGCAATTCATTTACGCTGTTAGAAAATGTGTGGCGTAAAATTCTTCTCGAAAAATAAGTCATATACTGATTTCCGTTTTTTTTTTTACTGCGTTGCCTATGTAACAATGTAGAAATCATATTCTCCAAACACCCAAATTCCAACCGGTCTACTAAACGAGTCCTAGCATACAAGACTTACTATTCCTGGATCGAAAACGAATCTGACACTAGCGGAAAGAACAGAATCAATCCCAGATACTAAATAAGAAATGCCTTTATCTTTAGGAAATCTGA